ATGGCTTATCTCAAATATTTACTTAAGATGTCCCTCAGTCAACAGAAAAGAAAATGTAAAAAAAAGGATGATAACATCCACTTAAAACAAATATTTTGATGCGTGTACTCTATTTAGTTGGAAAAAATCATTAAAAATTCAAGACACAGCAATATAGTTGACTGATGTGTTCTAATGGGTACAGCTGGTTGGCTTTACAGAGGCTGGGAGAGGTCAGCGTTGCCTTTAGCGTGAGAACGATGGTAGCACTACAGTCTTACTGCTTATAGATGCGTAGAAAGTTTCAAGGAGCTCTTTTCCAGATCAGAAACCCTTGTACATATGAGACAGGAGGTTACTCCTGCTCCCAGCCATCAGGGGAGTGGAAATCCCAAAGACGGGAACAGCCCCAGCTCCTGCTGTCGTCCAGAAGACGGCAGCCTCGGGCAGAGTTGGCATCCATGCTTCGCCTTTGAGCCCATCATTACTATTTCATACCTTCACTGCATTTAGGGATTGCTAGTCCAGAGCCCAGGTCCTACACAGATCTACCAACAAGGTCTTTCTGCTCGCTCCAAAGACCTTCCTGCTATATTTTCAAGAGGACTTTACCTGAACGGAGGCTTTTTGCTCTCTGGGAAGCGTAAGGAGTGAAGAATATCAGAGACTTTTTGTGCTCAGTGCTGAGGCTCAGAGATGGAGCCTCTCCCCTGCTTGGCAGGAGTGGCCCTGACATGGGGACAAGGCCTGCTCAAAGCCCGTTGACATGGCTTGGCCGCTGTGGGGACACACAGCCAGCTCTCAGGTCAGGATACCCACAGCCTCAGGAGGGCACTGAGCAACCTGCAGATCTGCGCCGAGGACAGCCCAGATCCTCCACACCCACCCTGGTGCCACCATCTATCACATCTCCCCACGAGGTCCCACAACCAGCGTTAGGCAGATAGCCTCAGGTCCTCACAGACAGGACTTGCAGATAACCCAGGCTCCGCCTTGTGTGAAAGGACCATATGAACACGACATACCAAGCTCTTACCTGGTAAAAATATGACCAGACAACTCCTCAGGTCTGCAGCTGTTTCAGCACTCTCCTCCAAGCAAATCCATGCTTAATTGTCGGGATTTTAGGCATATATTTTACTCTGAGCAAGGAACAAGCTGTACCCACCCAGCTGGGAAACTGGAGGCAACTGGTACTTTGTGAGGTTCATCTCTGCATTTGGTCTTCTGAAACTCAAAACGTAGCTGTGAGCACTGGAAGAAGCAATAGGAAGGTAGGACAACCGCGGGGTTTTAATAAGGACATGAGAAAATTGCCCCTGAAACAAGGCAGTGCTGCAGCTTTGTGCTCTTTGGACTTGCATCAAAGCTATCGCACTAGTTCGGGTTGAAAGCCAAAAGCTGTAGGTTAGACAACCCCCTGGTATTCACAGTCCCTGGGAAGATGGGCTGCAGTAACCTCCCAAATGAAATCAGGCAGCTTTTTAATGGCTCTCATTATCAGCAAGCAGCAGCTGAAAGGCAGGCAGAAAGGCATCATTATCCAGGTGAAACCGTCGGGGCGCTCTACGAGCCCTGTAGCAGAGAAAACTCAGGAAAACCTTTCCGAGTGCAAGCCGAGATACAGCATCTCCTATTACACCGTGTCCAATCCTCCCCTTTTGTAACCAAGAATCCCCAGCCTGACGCAATCCTCAGAAACTCCTAACAATGCCGCCCTGTGATTGCCGCGGGCTGGAGGCCGAAGGCACCTGCCCTGGCACACAGACGACTGCCGCAAGGTGAGACAGACCGCAAGTACCGTTTTATTTAACAACACATTGATCATCCTGGAGCTCGCCCCGGTTTTGTTGAGCCTGCTGCCATTGCAGGGATGACTATTTGCTGGTTCGGGAGAGGGAACGAAGCCCAAAGGCGCGATTTGTTGGAGGTCGTCGCAGAAGGCAGGAGCGGGGCAGGTGTTGAGGGGGGATCTCGGGCACGCCCTTTCCCTGCTCACTCCAAGTCGCCCGCGTGGCATTACAGTGCAACCAGCGCACCGCGGATGTTCGAGCTCCTTCCACCGCCGATGAGCCAGCTGAGCCTGCAGAACCCAACCGCTGTTGCCGATTCCCCCGAAGGCAGAGCCTGGGGAGCAGCAGGGGAGGGGTCCTTGCCCGCAGGAGGAAGAGCAGCTGTGTCCAACGTGTGCCCGCGTTTCACCAAGGCCTAAAGCTCTCCTTCCTTGGGCAATTTCTCAGTCCCTCATGCAACATCATGGGAATATTTCTGGCTATTCAGGGTCCAGAAAGGCTTTGTGGAGTCCCTGCTGTTGCCGGGGAGGACAGCCGGCAGATCTGCGCCGAGGACAGCCCAGATGCTCCACACCCACCCTGGTGCCACCATCTACCACATCTCCCCATGAGGTCCCACAACGCAGCAGTGACTGCTCAAGGGGAAAAGACTCAAAAAGCCTGACAGCCTCAGCTACAGCTGTCTTGTTTCAGTGGGGAAAAAAATAAAGGCACTGTTTATTCTCTTTATCAAGGGCCATCCTGTGAGCACTTCTTACCTTGGCTGGAAACACAGTACGAACGCTTGTGTTTCTCCACGTCCTGAAGTCTGTTTTGTGGAACAGGACAGAAATACACATAGAAATGAGAGATTAGGAGCCAGGTAACATGGATGAAGAAGGTGGCGCTCAGAACATCTGCAGGAATTGGTTTCAAGCGAGGCCCATTTGTTTAAAAGCTAGCGTTTAGTAATTGTCTAGACGATGGAAGCAGAGTTGTGAAGCTCCAGCTGGATTTTCTGCTGGCATCCAGCCCACAAACCAGCATGCTTTATCAAGGCCAGTGAGCAGAACGCAAACGCGGCAGATCCCCCCATTTGGATGCTGCCCTGAAATGCACCTTAATATACAGAAACCCCTCTCAAGTCTGGAAATGCCCCAGCGTTTCCAGTACTGCCTACTTCAGGCAACCGGTGCAAAACACACCCCACCAACGCAACTCTTTTCATGGCCAGTGCAAGAAGTCCTCGAGCCTGTGAAGGATTAGGAATGGTGCAGAGATAAACGGTCTCGGGGAGGGATGCAAGAACCGGACGCGCAGAGACTCAGCTGTCCTCCTCCTCCTTGTCCCTTCTAGGTGACGGTGCCTCAAAACCCGGCGGCTGGTGGAAAACACCCACGACGGCTGCCGGCTGGTCCCCCCGCTTTGCGATCGGAGGAAAGGGGCAGCGCCAAGGCACCGGTGCGCAGAGCGGAGCGGTGGCACAGAGAAAGCTGCGAGAGCGCAGCTCCGTGAGACATCGTCCTCGGTAAGCTGTCGTCCTCCGGCTCGGGCGTCTCTGCACCTCCCACAGCATCCCTGCGTCATCGGGCCAGCGAAAGCTTCCTTCAAAGAAAACACAAAGCACGCAGCTAAAAGATATTCACTTACAGTTTATTTTTGCCTGAAATTATTTCACATCTCTTTGTACACAGCTACAGAACAGTAGTAGTAAACCATTGGTAAAAGCAACAGTGCTAAGGAAAACGTTGGCATAATTTTTCTTCTTCTTTTTTTTTTTTTTCCTTCTTTCTTCCCATACTGCATCCGCATACAGTTTGGGATTTGAAGGGGAAAAAAAACCTGGCACACTACATGAGTTAAGACTCAAATTCTGTTTCATTTATTTAAAAAAAAAAAAAAAAAAAAGAAAGAACGAACATGATTTGGGTAGGGGTTGTCTACGTAGCAACAAAGTTTAAAAACAAAAAACAAAACCAAAAGCTTGGCTTCCATTGAATAAGATTAAATATATATATTTATATATAAAAAATTACATTGGCTGTATGTGAAACCTTGAGGTGCTGAAGAATAAAATAAAGGTGTTAAACAGAGGAAAAACTTCTTTTTGTTTTTTTTGTTTGGTTTTTTTTTTAAATAGGCAGCTCTGTACAATGAAGGCTCATTATGAAAAAAAAAGTCAACAGCATAGTTATAAAAGAAACCACAATTTTTAAAAAATCATCTTCTAAGCAACTGTGGAATTTGAAAAATGTAGCAGTCACATTTACAGACAGGTCAGAGCTATCGGATCAGCAACAACGCTATTTTTTCAGTCTCCCCAGAGGAACATGCAGAACAATGCGTGCACAGAACAGGTAGGGGGAGGGGGGGGAGGGCGGAGAAGAGGAGGGGAGGGAAAAAAAAAAATAGAAAAAGCTGATGCACAAAATGGAGGGAGAGCTTTGTTTTCTCTTTTTGAAATATCGGACGTAAACAGAAAACAACCGAGGCAACTTGTAAAGTCTACAGAGTTTTGCGAATACCCCATTGGCAAAATGAACGACGTCTTTTCCCCATCTCCCGTGTTTAAACCTGACATGGTTTGAAGAAAGTTTTCAGGCTTCGGAAGGAAACGTGACTTTTATTAATCCCTGCACCCCCTCCCCCACAACCATATCCCCCTCGATAGATATTTTCCTTCCTATTTGATAACGTTTGAGGCATTTTGAAATCAAAAAGACAACGCGATGAATGTTGTGACAGAGAGGGAGTATAATACAGTATGCATTACTAAAAGGCAATTCTTCAAGAAGGACATTTCCTTTTAAAAAAAATAATAATAACAACAAGACAGCAAACTAGTTTATACAGTACTATACGCAAAAAAAGGGTAAAAGAATTAACAATTCATAAATAAAAGACAGGTCCCAGACCTGTTATTCGTGAACCATTTTCTTAAATAGGTGCATTATGTAAATCTTATGTACAACAAAATTACTTTGCATAACAACTGCAAGGACATGGGGGGAGGTGAAAATCATATTGGTTTTGGTTTTCTTCTCTTGAGATTTTTGTAAGTTTGATTTTCTGGAGCAAAACTGGTGAAAGAGGAGTTCTGACTGGATGGGTGCCAGCCAAGGAAACCCAGGTAAATAATGACAAATGAATATATTTTTTTTCTCCACACGGCATAAAACACAAAGGCAAATAAAATCCACAAAGGTGTTTTTTTCCTCTTTATAATCCTCTTGCTGCTACAAAGTCCTTTTTTTTCCTTTTTTTTTTTTTTCCTTTTCAATTTAAATCATGTTGATTCCGAAATCACAAAGCTGAAAGAATCCGTCCGGGTCCAGGCTTGCCCCGTCCCCCCTGACACACACAACGCCACTCTACCCCACAACCACGACTCCTACCACCAAGTCCCAGGACTCACTGCTCTACAGGTATTAGCCAAAAGTTATTTTCCGGTTTGTTTTTCTCTGTTTGTTTTAAAAATCTTTTCCTTCTCATGAGAAGCAAAAGAGAAGAGTCGGAGGCAGGGGGAGTTCACCATGCTTCGGTGTAGCGGACGTCCACTTCTTTCAGATTGGGTAGTTTAGCCTGTGGGGAGGGTAGGAAAAGGTCAGAATTAATGACACGCGTTCAGGACTCGGGAAAAAAGTTCCCGTCAAATCTGTACCGCCAGCAAACTGGGAGGATCGATCTGTCGGCCACAAGCTGCAGGAAGATGCGCTACGACCTCAGCCCTGCAGAGTACCAGTGCCGAGTTCAGCAGCGAGCGGAAGCATACAGGTGTTAATGAAGGAACAAGAGGCTGAGCCTTTACAGACACACAAGACTAAGCCACGCCTGCGGCACAAACGAGCAGCTCTAGTAAAACCAACGCACCAGCGATCAGGTCCAGATCAGACCCCGATCTTTATTTTTTATACAAACACTTAGCAAAATTTGTCTGTCAAACTCCAGCCGTGAAGGCAGTGGACTCAAACTGCAGCAGCCAGCCACACGTTCCTTCTTCAGCCTCCACACTAAGTCGTTGCTTGATTTTTCCCTCCATATATTAAAAAAATTTGGAGAGCGTTAGCAACTTTCGGTGTCTTTGTGGTCTCCTTTCCGTAACTCCACCGCATTTGGACGTATTGTTCCCGAATTACCCTGTGCGAGGCAGATGGGAATTGGCTGTTTGCACCGTTCCTACTTGTCGATCCCGTTTCCATGCTCTCTGACCATAATTGTATGGCTAATTCTCTCAAAACAAATAAACACATTTAATTAGGCTAGGGCATAATTGAGGAGTTGGAAGTTTCTAGGAGTCATTATTACCTCACTCCCTGATTTATGTGCACGCATATTTTGATAAGAGCTAGTCATAATCCTACAGACACTGCCAGCAAATAATTTTTCAGTTAGGCAATAATGACTTCAGTAGTGGGTGTTTATTTATTGTCTGGTTCAGCCTGCCTGGTACATATGTGGGTGTCTGTGTGTGTGCAAGTGTGTTTAGTGGGGTGGGGGATGGAGCGGAGAGGAAACGTCATCATTGGCTTGTGCCCCGAATGCTCTCGCAGACCAAGGGGAGAAGAAGGAAAGATTTGTATCAAAAATACGTTCTTTGAAGTCTGAGCTGTTCTCAACAGACCTACAACCATGTGCCCCAGGGAAAGAAACTATTACCCTCCCTTTGAACATGCACAGAGCTCTAAAAAAATGGCCACTAAGATAGATCTCAATGAAAGAGGTGAGAGGGGAAAAAGTGACGCATGCCTGTTTTCTCAGCTTTTTTAATTCTCTGCAATCATCGGGACTTTGCTCACAGCCAGTTTTGCTGTTTGCCCTGGCAAATCACTTTCTTGTGTTGCTGCTAAGGACTGTTAATGCAATACCAGAGCAGAGGGAACCAGTTAGGAAAACATGAGTTTCGGTCTGAACTTAGTGGCAAAGTGGCTCAGAAGCAGGGGTAGGACCGGAGGAGCCTTTCAATAGACTCGATTTCAGAGCCCTGGGCCAAATACAGCATTGACCTTGATTGTCTGTAAATGCTTGGGGCCTTATACAAGCTCCATTGTGTGAACCCATCTGCAAGCCAGCTGTTAATTCCAAGGACGACTTCTTTGCATATACAATTGTGACACAAGTTTTGAAAACTTGATCTTGAAAAATCCATGCTAGCAGCATTGCAACTGTGTCCCTGGGGGAGCCCTGGCTCCGCAGCCAGAACCGAAGATACACATTTGCAGGGAATTTTGAAAGCAGAGCGGTTTCAGGACTTGCCTCAAGTTCGAAACTCAACCCAAGGTTGTGACCTTTTTGAATAAACCTGGCACAATCTAAGGTTTCAACACACAAGACAACATAACGTGGCGTTTCATCTCGAGTGCTTGGGTTTATAAGGTAAGACTTTGGGAGATGTGACTCACGCAACACCAGAGTGAAGACGAAGTCCACGTGAAGTCATGAAAGCCAACGCATCTCAGGCAGTCTTTGTCTGAAACCACCTGGGGCCGTTCCCCTCCCACAGCTACATTCTAGTTCTTTACACCATTTTGCTGAAGTGGTTCTAAATTCAGAGTACAAATGGTAACACCAGACATCTTACATGTCAAACTTGGGAACTGAGCATTTGTGCAGGTGTTCCTGTTTAAAGCCCAGCTCCAGTCCAAGAGCTGTCAAGATAAACTTGCACCTTCCTCAATGATTTAATTCTCCCTTTGCGTTCTGAATCAAAGCTCCGTAATGCTGTTCACCCACGTTACTTTTGGTCCTGTTAACAGTACAGGACATGGCTTTGGAGGTGTGCACTAGATTTTACCTATCTGTGTATCCACATCAGAAACAACCTGATACGCTCCTATTTATGAAACCCTTACTGTTGATAGCATTGGCAGAAAGATTCAGTTTCTGATTCCATCTCATACTTGTCCATTCAGCATATTAAATGCTTCCCGAGTCCATCAAAGCCAGCAACCTCAGAAAGCTGTTTCCAGTCATTATCTCCCCAAAATAGTCCACTTTACCCTCTTCAGATGACTTTCATGCTACCCACTCCATGGGGCCAGTTCTCTCTGCACTAGGCACTACCAACCATGTACTTGCTAAATCTGCAAGTCCTCTTGGGCCAGCTACTTCTCATCTTTAGTGGATGCAATTCAGAAATACCTTGAGATCTTCATAGGTATCTGCTGAAAGTTTGGTGCTGTTCATATTTAAACTACACAGGCTCTTCATGGCTAAAAGAGAAAACACACAGATATTTATGATCATGCTGCATTTTCTTAAAATATCAGGCTTACAGTAGGCCAAAGCATAAACAAGACATGGCTATGTGCAGCACTCTCAGGAAAAAGCTGAATAGTGTAAAATATAGAAGTACGAATGGATAAACAGCTGTTTGGGCCCTCATCCAGGAAAAAGTCCCTATTTAGGAAGGGCCATTAAGCATATGCTTAAGTACGCTGACTTCAAAGGAGTTGAGGCAACTTCTCATAATCAGTTTCCTGCACATTATTCTGAATAGCGCCCGTTCTCAGTGCTCTGCATGGTGCACGCAGGGGCCATGCTGATCTAGCAGTCCTCCCTCTCCCCTCCCTGCCCCCCATTTCCATTTTAGGCTCCGGTACTTAGCAGAATAGTTTACTAGGATGAGCCATAACTACTGGCCTGTCTGGCACGTCTGTGTAGGATCAAGCCTATTAAAGGAGCCCTTCAAACCCAACGGGCGAGGTTTGTAATATACTGTTGGATGTTGGAAAGGGTCTCATTCTGGCACGTTGAGCAGCTCTTAGTGCACAAGGGAATCCTGACTGCTGCTTAGATGGCCCCACTCTGCCTTGCCCTATTTATATTAAGAATAGCGAGAGTTTCACCTCCCCAAAAAAGAAGGAACAAAAAATGCCAGAGAGGGTACGAAACCTGCTGTGCACGGTTGCTAAACTCACTAATAAGCTGCTACGTGGCTTTGTAATCTTCCCCTCCTGCACCACAAGGTCAGATTCCCACCCAGAGGGGACACCCACAGGAGGGCATGTGAAAAAAGCTGGGAAATCCCAGGGCAACAGGTCACCATGTAAGATCGAGACAAGTGCCATCAGTAAGGTCAGAGGCAAGAGCTAGAGCATGGTCTGGGACAACAAAGCCCACACGAGGCCACTAAGCATCAGCAGGCTCAGACCACCATCCCGCTTCCCCTGCCTGCAGCTGAACGGCCAACTTGAGCTGGCAGGGAGGAGGGAAGTTTAAACCCAAACGCAACCACGGCCTGTCCTAAATCCCTGCGGAAGCAGCACTGTGGCAGCCAAGAAATCAATCTTCTGTCTGAACCCACGTGAATTCCTCCGAACCCACATCATTTTCCTCTGTAGCTTATTTTGGTCACTTACAACTAAGTGCCAGCAGCCCAGCATCCGTGACAGGAGTCTCGCAAAGGTTGAGCACTTGCAGCATCGTGAGGTGTTCAGACAGAAGCCGCAACCCTGCATCTCCGAACTGTGGGGCGCAAGCAAAGTTGTTTTCAAACAATGCAGGAACATCATGTGCAAGTACCTCAGTGCAAACAGGGCACATTAAAATGAGGTTTGCAGATGAGCCCTCAAAGCCACACTCAGATTGTTTACTGCAATCTCAAATGACAGGAGAGAAAGCAAACAGTTTTATTCCTATTTTGCAGATGGGGAACCAAAAAATTAAGTGACTTGTGCGCACTTAACCGCAGGCCATCATTTAATTAGAATGGTGCCTTTGAAGTCTGGACTTTGTATGAGAGAGCTCCCACCCAGGCTATACAAGACGGTTATGGCAGTCTCAGCCAGTTCCCAACCACATCACAAAAAAAAAAGCATAATGCAAGTGGTATTAATTAGCTATTTTGGTCTCAAGAACAATGTACTATTGATCGGTAATTGTTCTATTGACCCACTTCGTTTCTGCTGTTTCTAAATTCTAGATTAATGGAAACCAGGATATCACAAAATAAAATGGAATCTAAGCTCGGTTTGTTGGGTTTTTTTAAATAAAAAAAAAATCATACAAAAAGCAGGCTCTTTGTCCAGTGAAATCAAACTCATTTTGAGCAAGAAGCATCAAAGTTTTCAAATCCAAAAGTTACATTGCTAGGACAGATCTGGAGGAGATTACAAGACGGTCTTAAGACAATCAAGCAATCAGATTCTACTTTATATTCCCCACACAAAAAGAGGAAATTTCTGGGATACAAAAGTAGTTAGGAAAACAAAACAAGATATTTACATGACATTTGAGTGGAAAAAAAAATTATGCTTTTTGTGGTTGCATTGAGAATAATCATATTTTCAGCGAGGACGACAAATAGGTGCTAACAGAAAATGGGGAGAACCTATTCAAAGGAAAACCTCAGAGACCAAAACCAGCACGGAAATGTAGAAGAAAAATTTAATTGTAAAAGCTCTTTCAATTAACAGCTGAATAATTTATTCAGTTAACTTGGCCTCTTTTTGCTTACAAAATAACCACATTCTCATTATAGTTGCCTTCTATTTATTCATTATTTGAGTTTCTTTTTGTTGCTGTTTTTTTTAAAGAAATTCTGGTTGATCAGCATTCAGGGCAATTCTCTGCCTACATTGCATAGGCTCTGTGTTTTGCTTGACCAGATGAGCTGCACAATATCATTTTTTTTGTCCTAAATGGGTGAAAGCATAAGCACTTCTCAGAATACACAGTATCAACAATGCCTAACTGGAACATTCAACCCAAGATAACAGCAACCCTTTTATAATTAAAAATAAAATAAAATTTAAAAAATTAAAAAAGAAAAAAAGAAAAAAAGAAAAACCAGCCTCCAAGACGAGCTAGACCACAGAAAGGCCCTGTAAAAATAGCATGAGGACAAACTCATTCTAAGCTAGCCTCTTCACACACTCTTCTCGTGCTGACGTAATGTGAAATTTCAGAATTAGTCAGCATTGGTTCCGGCTCTGAGTTTCAGTCTGTAAAGCACTTACCTGAGTTGACCACAGGTTCAGCTGCTTGAGCGAAGGCAGTTTAATGAGGTGCTCAGCACAAGCACTTGTCACATTGGTAAAGGCCAGGCTGAGGTTTTCCAAATTTCCAAAAGATCCCGAGCTTAGCAAGCGGGCCAGGTCTGCATCCTGAAAGCAAACAACAGATTGATGAGCAAGATTATTGACTCCTCAGCCTGCAATCATCTGCAGTGGTGTCACTGATACTGTTAACCAGCAAGAGTTGCACAATTATACCACTTGTTTACAGTAATAGAGAACCACACAGAGAAGTTTCTATTTGCTTGGCAAGCAGCTGGGCTCTTGTGGCAGCGTTGCTTCACACACCCTGGGAAAAATGTATCCAGACATTAGGACAAAAATTTTCTTTGCGTGTGTATCCTTATGAGACACGAAGGCTTCAGTGTCAGAACAAATGTCGAAGATGGGTCTTTTAACTTAATGAAGATTTCACTGCAAGTTCTAGATCCAAACTGTGTTCAGGACCATTACCTGGCCTCAGTGAAGTTAGTCTGGGTTTACAACAGGCTTAACTGCAACAGTGATGGGTCTCCTTCAGACTTTCATGTCTAAGATCCAGAACTGGACATTGTGAAGTCTGCTTTTTTTAATGCAAAATTCTGTCCCCAAATATACCATTAGATCCTACTGTAAATTCCAAATCTGCGCACCAGTATAAATCTGACAGTCTGACGCGTGTACTTGCGTTGGAAACTGCTGAACAGACCCAAGAGCAGAAATGTGCCCTTATTTGTGTAAACTCGAGTTGTGTTGACAGAGCAAGTAGAATGGCTCCCCTCTCGACTGACCAAAATCACTGTGCCACATGGCAAACATAAATCAAGTGTTTAAATATGGAAAGATAAAGCTCGTTTTTCTATTGACATGATTAACTTACTGTGGATTTGGATGGCAGTGTTAACCTTGTGGGACCACCTTTTCTTTGCTGTAAGAGAGAAGATATTTTGGTCAAACAAGTTGCCATTCTACATTTCAGACCAACTGAAGTATAGCAAGCTCTTCACTAGAGCAAACCCTGCTCCGATTTCAAAGCTCTCTGCCAGCCCTTCCACCTCTTCCCTGCTTTTTCTGCACTGACAGATTTTTTTTTTCTGAGTGTGCTAGATGCAGGCTGGTTGCTACCCAGGGGACGTCCACTAACCGCAGCTAGTGGTCTTCGTGCCATTGGTCAGCATTTTGTCTGATTCAGCCTGCCATTATTTAGTTACTTTCACTTTAAAGGAAACAGCCTTAAAATGCCGGACTAAGATAGCAAAGGGGTTGAGACTGCACAGCTGATAAAATCATTTGTTTGACTTCAAAAAAAGCATATACTTTTCAGGCTGGGAGCAGGGGTTAAAGAAGACAAATATAAACGCGAAAGAGGGAAGAGGAAGATTGCGGGCATGTTTGCATAGGTGAAAAAGTGCTAATGAAAGCAGATCTATCTTCAATCTGTAGATCCTGTCTTTAAAATCAGGAAAAAATCTTTTGTCATAGGCTGTAGCTCTGAAAACTAGACCTAAAGACCATCTCGGTGAAATGTTGTGAATGTCAAAGCATTAAGAAATGCTGGCCAGCACTAGAACCATTTGCTACTCATATGTCAAAAGGTGGCAGAATTTGACAAGCTGACTTGTAAGATCTTAAGACAGCAGGATTTCACCTTTATTCTTTCACGCAGCTTCTAAGCAGGTTATTGAATATCATTCATAAACATAGTATGGGATTAGACACATCAGTAAATATCACACAGTATATACATTCACAGTAAAATCCTCCAAATACTGCTCCCATCCTGTTGTTAACTGGGAATTTCACACCCTGCTTATCTTTCTTTTGTACCTCCATTTCTGGAGAGTACAGACCACAATGTGCTATGGCAATACTGCATGCAGGGCGACATACCAGCTCTTTTAACTCCCTCTGCCTGTCACACAGCTGTTCATACATTCTCTTTCCCACGTCTGTGCTTTCCAGGGTAGAGATGATCTGGAGCTGGGTGTCATTATTATCGATGATGTTGTATTCCAGCATCAAACACAAAATCTAGCAGCATGTCACTGCAGTGCTTACATTCAATTTCTTCCAAATACCCTAATTACACTGGGCATGCTAATTCAAATTACTGGCTAAGTTTTCAGAGCATGCATTATGCAGGCTAGATTTGAGGATCGTAGCAACATTTACTGACCTTTCAACACAAGAAACCAATTTTTAATTCGTAAAGAATGAACTCTAATCTCTGAAAGTCAGCCTATCTATCCTGTCTTCCATTAGCGCTCATTCCTTCTGCCCGAGAGGTGCAATTACTTTGCATCAGTCCTGGAAGATGGCTTCATGCCACAGCCCTCTTCAGAACAGGTACAATCGATCCAGTATTTCCCAGGTACACCGGCTAGACTGCAGATTGGCAGACTTGGGACATTACACATGGGCAGTAGAGCCAAGCAGTTCCCTAAGTGCTGGATTTTCTGTCCCTAAGTGCTGGGGCTTCTGTGCAAGCAGAACGCATGTGAAGTGTATCCAGCCTATGAGGCAGGATGGGGAAAGGCCAGAGAGGCTCCGAGAGAAGATGAAGCTGGGAGCTCGCTGCTGTGGCCAGGACACCCTCCATCTCATCGGGAACACACCTGACTCACCCCTGGGCAAGGGGCTGCCAGGAGCAAGTTAGACACCAGGGGACGATTCCAGTGGGTCACATGGGCTTAGGACACAAGCTGCCCCCTCCATGCTGCCTTTCCTTTTCAGCTGCCCCCTCCATGCTGCCTTTCCTTTTCAGCTACATACCATGCCATTGCTATTAAAATGCAAAGTTTTTATTCCTTCCATAATTTTAATTATTTTTAATGAAAGAAATCAAGCAATATTATATTCAAATTCATGCAGCACACTCTTTTATTTACTGGATTAAATTAGCATGCACAGATCTAAGTCAATGAAAAATCGTAACTCCTTCCACCCATTTAACCACCCTCTATTTCCATTTAAAATATATGATATTTATCACGAAACTTCTCTAAAGAAACCCAGAAAAATATGTATAAACAATTAGTGCAACAAAAATAACTAATCATAAGCACAAAAAAATGTATATTAATGCAAGTAAATAAGGTTTTGTAAATGCACTTCTTGTGCACTGCTCGTTTTGCACGTATTTAGTCACGGAAAAGCCTTGTGGTTCTGAATTCTGACCCCTTGCCACAGCCTGTACCATCATGGCCATTTATTTCCCATTTTAGCCTCTCCAACTGAATTATAGCAAACAATCTCTCCAAAAATTCTCGCACCCACCTTTCATGTAATTCACACTCATATCTGCAGAACAACAATATTCCATTCCACTTAACCGAGAGAAACACAACTGCCCACTGCTGGTGTTTGATACGATACAAACCTGAACTCGGCTTCTCTAGTTCCACTAGATCTAATTCTGGGAAAGGCAGTGTGAAACCGCATCTGAATACTGCTCGTAAACCTATATGACCATGTATGTTTAGGGCTTACCTCTACCATCGTCTGGTTACCCCTCAAAGCCAGTAGCATGCAAGGTCCTAATTTATTTTCAGCCAGTGAAAGCAGGAACTTCTTTGTTTTATAGCAGGATCCCATTAAAATATGAACCTATTTGAGAAACAGAGCTAAAATTAGAGGTGTAAGCCTAAGAAACACATATACCTCTGGAAGCGACATTGTTACGCAGTCAAACAAATGTAAGTATTTGCAACAAACCTAAAGAAAAGGAGGCCCTCATTACGATTATGGTTGCAGTCTCTCAACAGCTTTACTGCTGATTGGAAGTGACTTTTTGAAAAAGGTGATGCCTAGCGAGATCTGAGGGAGCTGGTAGTTTTCCTCCATAAAGGAGCTCAGCTGACAGCCCAGAGCCCTGATATAGGCTTCCCAGGAAACATCAGAGCAGCTGTGCAATTGCCCCGATCCCTAGTAACATGATGAACCCATTCCCAGGGGAACCACAGGAGCTTTTGCTTTTGCATCTGTTTGTGGTTCAGTTTCTCTGGAAATGCCAGCTGGTGAGCAAGGGTTGTGTGGGCTGCACGTCTAGGTAAAAGGCAGTGGTGCTGGCAATCTGCTGGCTGAACACTAGCCTTGGTTAAGGGGTGGTGACAGACAAAATCACCTGTTCAGAATGAACAGACAGGAGCTGACTGGGAAAGGAAGGAGTGCTTTAAGAAAATCCAGCAGTCCTGAGCCCTAAGTCAGAGATGACTTCGTGTGCTTTCATGCTCTTGGGTCATTATCTTGCTTTCCCTTTCGCTCAGTTTTCCCTGAAAGGAAAGAACTGCTGAGAACGCTGCCTGAATAAGACTCCTTCGAGTCCACTAGCTGACAAAAGTGTCCTACAGACTCTCTCCTAGCTCCAGAAAGCATTGGATGATATCACATAGTAACACCTATGGCAGAAATGCAAAGCCACTTGTACAAACCAAATATGAGAGTCTCTTCTCACAAAAGAGGTTGGCAATATTCCTTCCCATTTAGAAGCCCTAGAGATTAGCTGCAGAGAATTTCGGGTTCCTAGCTGAAAGTCTGGTTTTATGGCCCAGACGGCTGATTCACACCAGCTTGCTGGCAGAGCACTATGTGAGAATTTGTAGTTTTCAATGACCTGGGCAGTAAGACCTCCATTATGTAGACTCAACATCAGCACTACTCTACAATAAGTTTGTAAGTACGTTCTGTGGTCCCCCTGGTTCATGGTATTGCCTGGACTATGTTCAATACTGCTGAAAATATCGCAACCATGCCATGATGGGCTCAATTCTATGCGGATCATGTGCTACCATGCAATTCTTCTTCCTCATGGCTTCATTACCAGCAAAGCTTTCAGAAAAACACAAAATCTTTTTTTCTTAAGTATCCATCAGCTCAGGTGGCCTTTAAAAACAGTAAGCTTCAAGCCAGAAAGGATTTCATTTCATGCACTTATCATTAAGCTTTTTTGGAGGTTTTCTGGAGCGACAGAAAATACTGACGCTAACACTAATGTAAGGTCCATCTCAGAACAGGATGTTTTTCAAACTTTATGGTTAGTCGTTAGCAGCTCTTTAAGTATTTATCAACATCCTTGCAAAGGGCACAGAGTACTGCATATTAATGTGTTAGCATTGTGCTTTCTCATGCACACCATCTCCTGATGCTCATAAATATCTTGGACCGCAAAAGCTCTCAGGAGAAATGATATAGTTCTGAAGAAATTTTCTTTTCAAACATAAAAAGACAGAGAATCAGTGAAGAGGGATGAAACCTTTTGTGAACAGTCTTTTTCCATTATCTGTTTCAAAGATATCTGATCCATCTGAATTTAAGTTAAGAGTATAGACAGACATGCATGTTCTTTACAACCCAAAACACTGAGCATGTGGGAGATGCACAAAGTGGAGATCGCCCTGACAGTCACTTCACTGTATACCCCAACAGCCAACTTCAACAAATGTTCTTCCCCTTACCAGGGACAGGAAGTAATATCATTTCCATCTTACTTGCTATATGGAGAATTAAGGCACAGTGAGACCTACGTGACTTGACCGAGGCTGCATAGGAAGACAGGGCCAGCATCAGTGTTATTTTCTGTCTAGTCCTTCTAAGAGTTACAAAAGAAATAACTGCGGGAAATGGAATGCTGGTTTCTAATTATACCTCCCCACAATAATGTAATTGGGCAGAGAATCTGCTAACACATTTTTATATCTAGCTATCCATCCTTTGATTAATTCAATGTTACTGTTGTTTTTAAATTCCAGGGCAGCCTATAAATGATGTGTGGATCCTAGGTGTGGACGTGCAGAACAGTCTGTCTCCCCTGTCTGGCAGTATTTGATATTCTCTGAGAGAGCTTTTTATACAGATGCAAACACACGTATTTATAAATACAAAAATACATACATATGTGCACACATATACACATGCATGGTTTTGTGCATTAACCCAGTGAAAAAACACACCAAAGTTCAAAAAGAGAAGGCTAACGTTAACTGAATTGCGACTGCAAGGAAGTTCAGTGGATTTGGTGATATAAAGATTTAGACTTCCTGGTAAACACTTGTGGTTTACAGAACCATGATTTTGATAATGTTTTGAGAAAAGCAAGTAAATCTTGTTATTGCCAACTACACATTAGCTACTTACTGCAAAGAAGTTACTAAACTCACATTATTGCAGACACGTACCATACTGGCAAACAGCTCTCCATCATCATCACATGCCACTCCTCCAGGGCTGTAGAGCTGGAACCAGCCGTCTTTGCCAGCCCGCACACTCAGCAAACATGAGTGGACCTGCCAAAAAGTGAAGACATCGGGAAGGTTACAGTTCCTGCCAATAATCACCAGCATCTCCCACACTGGGCCAAAAGAAGTAACTCTGCAAAACCAGGGACTGCTGGAAATTTCATGGTTAATATTCCAATCTACAGAGCTGCAGGCAAGTCTCCACTCACAGAATCCATTTTTTCAGTATAAACAAAGAGGGAAGCTGTATCATCACTAATTGCATGGCCTTTTTCATTCCCTTTACACAAATCAAACACAAAACGGCTCTGATCTAGAACAGCTCCTTTCACTTGGGAAAAAAACAACAACCAAAAAAACAAAAAAAAGACTCAAATTTCTGAGCTTCTGCCATTTTCCCCCCATCCTCCCAGCATGTGTATCTATACTTCTGATGTGATCCGCACACCAAATGCAGTGGCTGATGGCTTGCTCATTCCAATCATTAAAAATTCCTATTACTCCTGCTGTAATAAAACTTGACCAGAGTCAGGGTGAAGGAAGTCCACAAGGAAAATTCAACAGGGATACGTAAGACAGAAGTTGCACAGAAGAACTGGCACCAGTGAGCAACCATTAGTCTAAATTACTATATCTAGTCCCACAGTTTAACAGAAGTCATAATTAAGCTTTTTTTTTCCTTTTTCTTTTTTTTTTTCCTTTTTTTCCCCCCCTTGAAGAGAGAGATGTTCTATTTCAATTTTTGAGGGGTGGGGGGGGGAGGTAAGGTCCATGTTCTTTCCTTTGGGCACGTAACACTAGTGACAGATGAAACCCTGGTGCCATTCTAAGACAAGAAGGTCTCTCTTATCTGACAAGGATGACTACTGCTCACAAAGGCTAAAACCGTAAAAAACAGGAGTTCTGGGCAATGATGACAACACAGCCTCCTCACCGACAGTTTGGGAGAGCTTTCTTCCATTTATGCCAACACCAAAAATTAATGCGGATGAGAGGTTCCCACTGACTCAGCCAAAGTTGATGATGTTGAACAAGCTACATGTGCAGCTATGAAGCTGTCAGCCACCATGAGGCTACAGCTACGCACTCATTCCAGCAACACACCTCCCACCCCCTTTCTCCTGCTAATTCATGGGAATTATGGTCATTTGCACACAATGTAACTGAAATGCGGCTAAATAAAACCTGTTATTTTGTAAGCTGTATGGATCCATGGATTTTGCTTCCCTTTTTTTGTATGGAAGATGAAAAGCTCTGAGAGATTCAACAGTGTGGGAAATCTTGCTGGTTGCAGTTTAATGTGGAGCACGGACATCAACTGATGCCAGACAAAGAGGTCACAGCACACGTTTATACACAAGAAACCATTCATACTAAGACAGTGTGCCCTGAGTGGCTATTATTCCCTAAGAGACTTAAGCACAGCAAAACCACACCATGTTTTGAAACAAACTACTTAAGGAGAGATCTTCTGAACAAGTATACTTGCAATCCCTCCAATTAATACTCTGTGTAAACTGGCAATAAACTCACTTCTTGCCTCGGGTCTTCTGCAAATCTCTGAATCACGTATTTCAGCTCCCTGAAACAAAAAAAAGTTAAAAGGACAAGAATAAGCAGTTGCTGGTTGCAGTATTCACACAAGTGTCACATTTCTCTTGGATTACACTTTAAACGATATATATTCATGCACTTTAGAGAGAAACAAGCTGAACTGCTTCCACGGGAAGGAAATATGAGCTCTAAAAGTGATTGCCAAGGACAGTGCCTATTCACAATAGTCTAGAAAAGCTTTCAGAGATGTGCAGTGGTGAACTGGTTTGTAAATTCTATCAGCATCCAGTGTCTTTAGTCCTTGGGCTCCTGCCGTCACAGTAAATTACAAAGAAAACTACATCTTTTTATTACTAACAGAACATGGTCACAGCCTCTCACAGATAAAAAACGTTAGAGGCACAATATTGAATAATGCATCATTGCTATTATTGACTAGTACGAGTATTTTAAGTAATTACCCCCTTTAATAAAACAAACAAGCTCCACAAACTTACTTCGTGAATTTCTCATGTGCAAGAGCCCTGAAATTTAAAACAGAAAACAGAAGAATATGAGGATTTGAGAGAAGGGGCAGCAGGGGGAACCCAAAACCCAAACAACCACTTTTCAGTTCTTTCCAGATAATAAATGGATTTGCTAAGCAACTGCAGCACACGAGACAAAAAGAACAATCTTTCCAAAAAAGATTTGGTAAAGTCTCCTT